ACAAGTATATAAATCATGCATCACCAAGAATAATCATTGCAGAGAATGTGATATAAAGTTCAACATAATTTTTAGGTTTTATAGACTCCATTGTGAATGGCAATGATCTCATACTGACACTGCAAAACTTTCACTGTGCTTTCTCAGTACCTTGGCATGGTCAGACAGCTGCACCCTGCAGGAGGGGTGATTTTTTGCTGTACCGTATCTATTCTTATATCTTCACTGCATACATGTAAAAAACCCAAACCTACATATAGGTACACCAACAAACCTGCAGGTTTGTATGTGGGCTTCTGATTTGTGCTAAGAGAGCCATTGTTAAAATGGATAAACATGGATACTTTTCTGATTAGTTGAAATCAATTCATCTAATCAGGAGACTGCAGAGATGTAGTTACATGTGTGTGTGAGGTACAAGGTAGCAGAGTCAAGCCCGCATTCTCTAAGCACAAGGTGAAATCTTACCCTTAGGAATTTGAAAATTTATTTCCAGAAATTCTGACAGTTCTCAAGCTAGAAAAAGATAGGATTAAGACCAATTTGTTGTGCTAAAAAAAAAGAAGAAAAACCACAGGAATGATACATTTATTTTGATTTTTGCAAATACTAAAAATTTTCTATTTATTTACTACATCCAGTCCTGACAGAAGACTACCAAAAGATCAAGTGTGGCAATACATGTTAATATTCCTAGATAAAATTACATTTAAATGAATATTGGTAATTTGGGTTAGTCTGTGCAACAGGGAAGAACTGTAATTATCCATAACTGAACATAATAAACTAAAGATAATCCAGAGTTAAACTAAACAAAGCGAAGAAAGCCCCTTGGGACACAGAGAGGCATCCTGGTGTTTTAGTTTTGCCCTTTACTGAGCTATACAATAACTATTCAGCCACAGTTAATGCACTGTGTAAAATCAGACTGAATTGGTTTTGTTTTTTTCCCAGAGAAACATAAGACATGCCCACTGTAAGTCTAGGTCTCACACTGAATGTTTCCAGAATTCCTAATCATGTACACGTTCTTGGGTTCTCCAAATTGCCTTTCAGATTAAGAGAAAAATGTTACAGAAAAGGAAAAAAAAGTGTCAGCAGTCTGTAGTCATTATGCTCCCAGATAAAGACACAGATAGCTGCCATTGCCAAAATATTTTCTGATTTGGCTTTAAAGTACCAACATGTCTCATATGCCAGTGCATATCACATGAGGCAGAGGTGACTTTCTTCTTAGCCTTAAGGGCAGGACATAAATCCAGCTATAACTCTCTTTAACACTTCTAGTGTTATAGAGATAAGGCATTCAGGTTGCACAGATGTATTTAGTAATGGCATTTCTTAGCTTGACTGCATGAATTGTCACTTACTGGAACCTGCTGTATTATTTTAAACTATTTTTTGTGTGTAACATTAGACTGATACAGAAATTAAAAACAGACTGATGAAAACCTTTGTGAAGGTTGGAAAATTCCTTTATTACTCATTAGATAGCTACAGGTGTAGCTTCCTTAGGCAAGAAGCCAAAGAGCTGTGGCATTGAAACAGTCTGGAACCAGTGGCCAATGATTTTTTTGAATGAATGAATGAAATGAAAATAGTCACCTTCCTCGTGTTTCAAGCTAGAATGAGAAATAGGTCAAGGTAACATTAGTCAAGTTGGCCATAGATACATTCCTTTCACTCTTACCTGTGGATGAGTCACAGATCTGTGAAAAGATTGGGGTAAAACCCAATATATATGTGCAGCTCCTGGGATGCCCTCTTGATTATTTCTTTATTGTTCTGTGCTTGGTTCCCTTCTAGGAAGCAGGTTGCTTCCTTCCAGCAGTGTTGCTGGCTCCACTGGAAAAGGAAAAGGCAGCAAAGCAGATGCTCAGCACCATAATCCAGTAAGTGCTTTAATAAAATGTTTCCTTCTCACTTGCACAAAGATAAAGATGGGAGAAAAGAGAGAAACTTTATTTAGGAGGCTTTGCTTGCTTAGGGTTGAAAGGGCAATGAGAAGGTGCTTGCAGAGGGAGGTTAAAGAACTGCCTTGTTCTGCAGGCCTCCATTTTGTGCTGTGTGTGATGTCACCGCTGGAGGACTGTCTTGGTGCACACTGGGTGAGGAGCACAGGTAATGGACATGGAGGAGTGCTGTAGGCCCTTGGCTCAGGATGGAGGCAGGCCCTGGGCCATCCCTGGCCTCACTGAAACAGTGCAGCAATTACTGTATGGCTCCACAGTAAACAGAGTTAATCCTATACCTTCTTCCCCAAACAATCTTCCATGGCCAGCTGACTCTGGCCTGCCTAATGTACCTAAGCTCTCCCTTTCTTGGTTGCCTCCTCCGTCTCAGGGAACAGCATTTTCCATGGAGACACTGCTCTCTGCCCAAATCTAGGCACAGTTTTTTTCCTCTTCTTTTTCTTTGTTCAATTTCCTTTGCTCAGGTGCAATCCAGCTTTCTCTGTGCCTATCCATTGCTTCTTATAGTTTCATTACTCTATAGAACCCCTTTCTTTTGCTCATTTTGTAATGCTGTGCCTATCTGTTCACTTGCTTGTTTGCTTTTAGCCTAGCATTGCTGGGACTTACTTGTCCACGCCAGTTTCACAGCTTTTCCAGACATGGGAAGTGGGACTTGATCTCCTGGAGAGATCTGTAATAGAGCAAAGGGGAATACACCTTCAGGTTTGTTCCCTACAATTCATAGTCCAGTTTTTCTTGTGTTGCTGAGAGTGTCTCTTTTCGCTTGGTATATTCCTTTCCTTGCTCAGCATCTTCTCTGGCCTGACAGCTAAACAACATGGTGCCTTGAAAGTGATGTGGATGTGCGGCTCTCAGGAACTAATTTGGTATATAGCAAAGTAGAAGGGGTATCATCTTTACAGAAGAAAATTCTTTCATCTATTGCTAAATATTCCTGAACAGCTGGTAGTTCTTATTACTGATGTGTAGATCCTCAGTGTTTTTTCAATGTTCAGCTTTTAGCTGCCCTGCCACCTAGTGGCATTCAGAGCAGTCAGGTGAGCAGCAGCACTCGGTCACCACCACTCCCTGTGGTGGTGGTCACTGGTGCCACAGATCAGAAAGGGAAGCCAGGTAAAGAAGCTGTTACTCATCACTGAGACTACTGCAATGCATGCTACAACGAAAATAAGTACTGAGCATGACACTGTAGCTGCCAGCCAGTGTTTACTGAGGTACTCACCAGAGTGTTTACTGAGCTTGTGCTCTGTAACCCTGGAGCAAGGTTGTCTGAACAAGAGGCAGAACTCCATCAAAATTCTGTTCCCAAACAGGCAAATTTTGCTCAAAGTATGTATACAGTCAGAATTACAACAATTTGCAAACTCACTGATATAAATGCAAAGGCTGTGGTTTTGCATTTACTGGTGGTTATTACAGGCACTAAGCAATGAAAGGAAAATCCTGAGTTTGGATTTTCCTTATCTCAGTAGTGTTTTAAGTATTATTTTAGTACCTTAGGTTTTGAGCATTTAGTTTCCACTGATTTGAAGTAGGTCTGAGGGCCTTTAAAATAGTTTTGTGAAATATATCACAGTCTGTAAGATCCATCTCATTTGGTACCTGTGCTAAATCAACAACGTTCTGCCACAAAGGCTGGTTATTTTTCAGTCTGGTTCAAATGATTAAGTTTCATAAGACCTTGGCTTTTACCTTGAGATTATCTCCAGATGTTCCTTGAATTCTCACCAGTTTCTCATCAGAGTTCATTACTTCCACAAAAGGGTATTTTACCCACTTTGAGACAGCACTACTGGCTTAAAGTGATGTTTTAGTCATTCCATTTTATCATCTCAGAATCAGTTTGATAGCACAGATTGGAGACAACCAAATTTCAGGAGAGAAGTGGTAAAAAAATTCTATAACGTGGCTTCAGGGGACTCAAAGAAACCTATGGTACCTACATAAATGTCATTCTAACTCCTCTTGTATCTCACAAAGATTTCCTAAAGTTCCAGGCTGGATTTGCGCAAAGACTAATGGGTGCACTAGTAGAAAGGAGGAAGGATTTCTGAAGTTATAGGATATTTCCTGAAGAACTGAAAGAGGTGTAAGAAGGCAAAATTGTGGATGGGGGAACATGATACTCCCACAACACTTACAGCTGTAAGAACATGAAAGATACAGATTTTTTTTCTGATGCTTTGTTCCAGGATTTGCTGTTTAAATGAACAAGTGTGAACATGCTTTACCTTAAAGTTCAGAAAAAGACAAAAACCAGAATTCCAGCTGCTGCTAGTTCTTCTGCTTCATTCAGTGACGCATCAGAGACAGCCCGGGATCATTGAGAAATCAAGCTTCATACAAATCAAATTAGTTTCAGTGTGTTATTCCAATTCAGCCAATACAGGGCCAGGATCAAACTGCTTCCATGGAAATTTCTTAATTTTATTGTTTCCACACCTTTCCCTCTGCAGACTATGTGATAGAAAGTCCCTCATAGCCATATCCAAATCACCTTTGGATAGGCAGCAGTTAGGGCATCCTTGAGGAAGCAAAATAGAATCTGGTTCAGTTACCAGCTAAACTTGCATGGTGATCACCATTGTCCTGCGAAGACATTACTGTAAAACTTGCATTAACTAAAAACCCTTGCAAGGTCTGGGACTGGTGCTGCACGTGTATAGTGGTTCCCTCAAATGTCAGTCACTGCAGAGCAAAATACTGTTCAGGATGGGGGCAGTTCCTTTTGAAATACTTGATTGGTTCCCTAGACTTTTCTTTGGGCTTGAATCGTGTCCCCTCCATTTGCCACGCCGCTAAGTAAAAGGAAGCATGAATACCTTATCCTGTGCTTCTAGTGCCTATGTAGTAGATTGGATTTAAAATAAAAGAAGAATATTGCCAGCTTCTCTTAGGTTGTGTGTGTGTGTTTACAAAGGACAAGCAGAAAGACATAAGAAGTCCAGAGATCACAGTCCCGTTACAATTTAACCCTCGTGTTTTAGGGTAAACAAAAAGAGGACTAACAAGAAAAGAAGAATGTTTGATCTGCAAGAAGTTAAATATTTAATGTTTGATCTTTCATGTTAGTCTGGGATCTGTTGAAAAAAAGAAAGCACATTTCTATTGGTAAAGACCTCACCAAACTGTAATACTGGCAAACCTTGAAATTCTTCCTAACTGGAGATGAGATCAAGCTGTAAAAGTAACTGTTATGGATCAGAAAGCCATCTCTCCCTAAAACTGGATATATTCAGATAATCACTGAAGATTGACTGTGTGTATATATATATGTATTTTCCTTCTTGTATACTTCCCCGGGACTTTTCACAGCTTGGCGCTTGGAGCTGGTCCCAGCCATTTTTCACCTGCAAGACAAACCAGCACAGAAGAGACAGTTAGAATTTAATACACAGGAGTAATTCGGCAGTCATATTTCTGCAGCAGGATGATTATTCCTACTCTTTTGAAGGGTAACTACTGAGACAGAATACAGATCTGTATGTGGTTTGGCTTCAGACAGCTGCATAAATCCTTCACTGTCTAGAACAGCTGAAGCTGTACAGAAGAATTTTTCCTCTGTTAGACATGAGAGATTTGGTGGGTCTGGGGTATTGCACATGAGGGTCAAACCAATTCTTTTTAGGACTCCTTTTTGGGGGGCTGGAGACTAAGAAAGCAAAAAAGGGTGGAAGGCTGGGGAGTCAGAGAAACTAAAAGAAAATCTGAGTAAGTCGTTGGAGTTGAGACTAGAAATCAGGCCACAACATTCTAATCAGGACTAGTGACTACTGTAGTGGGTGTTGGGTACTCATCTTCCTCACTCTTATTTATGGAATCAGAAACCCATTAAGAAGAGAAAAAAAAACCCTCAAAAAATTTCCCTTCTGTTTAAGCCTATGACTAATATTAATTTACATTAATATTTTCTGCTGCATTTTTTCAACAAATGCATGAGAGCTGGTTATGTGCATAACTCTTTCTAGTGACATACTCTCTCAAGTGCCAAATCTTGAGATCAGTAGACAAATGCCCTCTAACCCATTGAAACAGGTGACTTGATTTTTTGACACAGCCTATTTCAATCTCTTTAAAAATTTAAAGTGTGCATTCTGTTGTAGAAAAATGAAAAGAATGATGTTTAATATATGAATATCTGTTACAAATTTGTGTAGGTAGACACAAGTTATGCAAGGTATAGGTTGGGGAGCTGTAATAATGTGCTTTTTATTAAGGAAATAGAAAATGAAAATGTTAAAACTAAAAAAAAAAAAAGCAGCATCAGCCACAGTCTTAATTAGTCTTAATCTTAGCCAAGACCTAATGTCCAGTACCAAAAGGTTAAATATTAATATTTTGAAAACTGAAGAGTTTCAGTTGTAATTTGAGAATGGCATGTGGAGCAAAAAGTCTTGAAACATACCGAGAGAGGATGGAGAACTCAAGTTACTTCTTGTTTGGAAAAGGACTATGGTCACTCTAACTGTATTGAGATAGATTTCAGTCAGCAGTTTCATTCCAGGAGAAGGATACCCAACATTAGTTAATATTTGAAAGACCTTAAGAGCGTTTTATTCAGCTGCATTATGTATTTCATTAAAAGAGGGTGAAAGTCTGAAACCAGAAGTGATGTTATTAGGTAGACTCACCTATAACGCTGCCTAGCAGCTCTAAACGATCAGAGCCAAAAAAGAGATGAGGTTCCCCATTATAATGTGCCACAACAGCAGGCATCCCAAATGCCTATTAACACCAGGGAGATGAAACAGAGAATGTTATAATGAGAGAATTTTTTGCAGACACATCATCAGTATTCAGGAATGAACCCCAATAACTTTGACTTTTTCCCCTCCCCTTCTTTTCACCTTCTTCATTCTTAAAGTCTAATGGAGCCATCAGAAAATAGGTGACTCTCCAGAGCTTGTGTGCCCCTTTTGAAGGAGCAAAAAAAGCAGCCTGATAAATCCACAGTTCTGTTTCAAGTAGTGATAAGTGGTGTCTCGTGGTACTGGTCCCCTCCTTGCTGTCCAGCTGGAATAAGCTGAATGGGTCAACCTGGTTTTCCCATATGACAGTGAAATAAACTACCAACAACAGAGAGTTAGCTTTCACACATTCAAAAAGCAAAGAGCACCCAACAGAGATGGTCTGTATAGTGCTTTCTGATCATCACCTTCATTGTTCCTTGCTTCCCCATATTCATAATAGAGAAGGAATGCATAGCTATGAAGCCCAATGGCATTGGAAGCGTCTCACCCCATATTTCATTGCTTCATCTGTTGTCTCTCTCAGTCGGTCCTTCACTGTAGGGGATGAAATCATTTCAAGTACCTTCTGGGAGAGCTCTGATGATAGCCCAGCCTGTCGGGCAACCTGAGAAAAGATGATGTAATTAGGAGTACCTTATTAGTAAATACTCTAATTCCTACTATGGTCTAATTAATTTAATCTTCAGTATTATCACCCAAGATCTATTGCCAAAAAAATTTCAAAATACTCTTGAAGCACTTCTTGCACAATTGTCTTATTGTGTGCCCAACCCATTCATCATTTAACAGTTCTCAGATACAAAGCAGAAGAGACATTTTAAACTTCCAAAATCTGCACATTATTTTGAGGAGTTCCTAAACATAAAAAGGGAAAAAAACACCCCTAAGTTGAACCTCTAATACAACGACTCATAAATAAATTACTAAATAAATTACAAAAACTCCAAACTGGTATTATGAAAAATAAAATCTTACTGTACGAGCCTATCAAGACAGAAACAGTTTGTATGGCAAATGTGGCCACATGGGATCTGTAAGTGACTGCATGAAAGACACTGTAACTCACAGAGGTTAAACAGTTGCTGGTATTACTGCTGTATCTTTTTCACCTCCTCTATGCCTCTGCCACACAGGAAGGAGATAAAATAGCCAAAGTTAAAGGTCCGATGTTTATGAGGTAACACTGAGATTACAATTACTTTTAATAAAGTATTTCACTTAAAAAAAAAGCTTAACTTGCCTGCCATCTACCTGAATGGCATGCCTTTTTTTTTTTTCTGATTAAAAAACCCCAAACCAGCAACAACAAAAAAACAAACAAAAAACCCAAACCAAACCAAAACCCACCAACAAAAAACAAACCAAAAAAACCAACACTGCATATAGACCACTAATCCTGCACATGCAGGTATTACTGATTCTTTCTTTCAATCGCTTTATTTTGTTTAGCATCCACATTTTCTTGTACCTTCTCCTACTTACACATCAGGGAGATTAGGAGCTCTTTTTTTACTGTGCTTGAACAGGAGATTAAACAAATGTAGCACTGGACGAGAACAAAATGCTGTGTATGCTTGATAGCCAGAGTGTTCAGACTGCAGTATTTACACTGCAAGTATTAGATTGCAGTTGTGTAGTATCTAGTCCCCACCATTTTAGGGCAGAAAGAGTACTTAAATAGACTGAGGCAGAATTCAGACTATACATTGCTGCTATAGCAATTTATGTGAAGTTATTGCTGACAAAAATAAAGAAGTAAAAAAATATTAAGGAACTGTTATCAAGTAAAAAACGTTCCATTTTTCTAATTGATGTGTAAAATAAATTTGCCTATAATGACTCAGATGAAAGGGCTGGGACTCCTCACCAAGGACCCCTTTGGATGGCAAATTTCCAGAAGAGAGGAAAGTCCAGTACTTGCTGCAGGGGTGAATGAAGACAGACACAAGCAAACAAGAGGACATCTACTTGTCTGCCTCAATGAACATAGGGGGATTCTTATTGACTGCCAAACAGTGACTAAACTAAAGATCTTTCTGAGTGTGAAGTCTGTGACTCTGAAGTTCTGCATGTCCTTGCTTTATTTAAATAATGATGGATTAAGAGACTATGTGGGAATGTTCTGTATATATTTATGTACTTACTGGGTCTAGTTGGGATGGAGCTACTTTTCTTCACAGCAGCTCCTATGGTTTTGTTTCAGATTTGTGACCAAAACAATGCTGATAACATACTAATTGGTTTAGGTATTGATGAACGGTGTTTGTATAGTGTCAAGGCATTCTCTGTTTCTCTCTCTGCCCCCGCAGTGAATAAATGGGGGTTTCACAACATGTTAGGAGATGACACAAGGCAGATGACCTGAACTAACCAAAGAGATATACTGTGCCATATAACAGGCTGAGCAATAATAAGTGAGGAGGGAGTTTAAGGAGGTTAACCTCCTTTTGCTTGGGAACTGGCTTGGCATCAGACTACCTGTAGGAGGTGGTGAGTGATGGCCTTTGCTTTGTTTTCTTTCATCTTCTTCCACTTCTCTTTTGCTTATTAAGCAATTTTATCTCAACCTACAAGTTTTCTTGCTTTTATTCTTCTTTACCTCTTCCCCTGTCCTCCTGGGCAGTGGGAGGAAGCAAGTGAATGTCTGTGTGGTGCTTAGCTGCCTACCAGGGTTAGCACACCACAGTTTAATTATATCCTTCAAATCTTGCCTCTTGAAAAGGGAAAATGAAAGCCTTTGCTAAAATTCTGGTAAAAAAGGTACACTAAAAGGAAGCTGAAGTGCAAGGACTAGACTGAGGGAAAAGCAAGACTGCAAAGACTGCAAGTTTCAAATTTCAATAAGGGACGTTGGATAGGAGAGACTAGTCATGGACAATTCCTCTCTTTTCTTCATATTAAAAGAACTTAGAAAATAATGTAGAAAGGAGAGCCCTTAAAGAGGATCTCCTGGTATATGAACTTACATGCCATGACAGCTTTTACTATAATAAACAAAATCTAAACATCAAAAGAAAATACATCAAGAGTGTAATTTCTAAGCATACAAAAGGGCAATGCAGCACTGAGCTTATCAGAAAGCCTGGCTCCATCACTCCATGGAAAGTCAACTTCCCCAAAGTGTTGCATTTGACCTGAACATTTCATATGGCAGCAATACCTCAATGTATTCTGGAGAAACGGTTTGTACTTGCAAGACTTAATAAAGCAGTATTAATAGATAACTAATTGTCCATCCTGGGTATCTTGCCACATGAATTAACAAAAAAAAAAAAGGGGATTCTGGTTCTGAATGTGATGCAAGCATGACAAGAAAAAAACCCCACATTCCAAACAGAGCTTCTGGGCAAATTAAATCCATTTTTTTCTACCTGAAATTTTTCAAAACTCCAAGTGTTCATTTGACTAAGCTGTCTTCATGTTTATTACTGATCCAAGTCATCAATAAGAATCTGTATCAGAAATGCAGAAGCACCAAAAAAAGGAGACACTTACAGTCAATATGTTCTCTGGCTGACTGATATCTTCATGCTGGTAAAAGAATAAAATAAGTAAATCAGTACTTAAGAACAAAAGCTCAGCTCTGGACTTGAAAGCAAGTTTTCTAACAAAATAGAAGTAAAACCAATATACTAGTTGCTGGACAAATTTCCTCAGAAAAGGTATTAAGTCACCTAATCTAGGAAGTTTTTTCTGATAGGAACCACTGATCCACTCAGCCTGTAGGACTCATCATATATACCTAAAAGAAGTAAATTAAGGTGACTATAAACTAGTTCTTTTCACAGTGGCTCCTGAACTACTATGACCTTAAGTTCCTCCTATGACTCTTCATTAAAAGACATTTCCTTTCTCTTGCTCGAATCCCGCATTTGAATGGTGTGGGACAGGGAGAGTGACAGAAAGGATCAAAAAGTTGGCTTCATAAAATACTGACCTGTGACCAGAAACGTATCCAGAACTCCCTAGATAAGGGTTCCAGGTATTCTGGTTTTGTCATATCAGTGGCTGTGATAAAGCGCATGGCCGCAAGACTGCCTGTGGGATTAGTGGGGAGACAGAGAAACACACTGAAACAAGGCACAGGTTCAGGAACAGAGATGGTCTGCATGAGTGCTACCTAAGAACAGTATGACCTCCTCTGTAACAGGCCCGATAAATCCACAGTCTGTAATAGTAAAGCTTATGTTGATTCATAGTAGCTTACTTTGATTCACAATCAATTATCTCCCAATGATATTATGTGAATTATATCATTTGCAGCCATATTTCTCTAGAAATTTCTTTTATGGTTAAAAATGCACAGGCTTCATATTGCTCATAGATACAGAAAAAGGCTGTGGACATGGAATTAATTTTCACCTTTACTGTTAGGGAGAACTCGAACCAGAAGTGTTAGAGATGAGAAATACCAGCTAAGCTAAGTCTTTTTCTTACTTGTACGAAAAATACGTTGGAAGTCATCTCCGGAAATTTTTACAGGCACTTGGTAGTATTTTGCCATCCTTTTTATATCCTTCAGCAGGTATTCGGCACGCTTTGGTAACATTGCTGGTGGCTTGTTACCTTTAAGGAAAAAGTTCTGTTGAGATTTCCAACTGTATTATAATACTGGACAAACCAACACTGGACAAATTAGACCTCATATGTACATGTGCCTAAGGAAAAGTATAATTTCTTATTGGCTAACTGAAACATACTCAGCTTTTCCAAAGATAGTGCTAGGATTTAAACATGATTTATTTTGGTTTTGCACAGATCAACCCTTTAAGATATCAGTTTTAAACCAAGGCACAAATGTCCTAGCAGGGATTTATGTTGATTTAGACAGATGATTTTTAAGATAGACAACTACTAATGCATGGGTAAACCAGTGTAGAGACTTGTTAATTTCATGATTTGTAAGTCTCAGTGATCAATTTGTTCTAATAAGACCATGAGTACTGTTTTAGGACATACTTGGATCCCTCCTGCATATTACAAAGTGCAAGAGTTCCACAAATTATTTCTGGTTTCAACTCAACAGAAAACTTTAAGAAAACACTCCATATCAAAGTATTATTATGGTATTTTAGAACTGATGAACTTTGGCACAGACTGCCAAAGTCTGTGTGGCTGTGTAGTTGCAATTCTTTTTGAGTGATTTCTCAATCACTACCGAGCTCTACAATCCTATGGTTAATTCATTATTGGTGTAAAAAATTAGTTTAAAGCAGGCTCTGTTGGCTCTGCACTCACCAAGAGCTTGCCCACTAGTGCCCTACTAGTGAAGAAGGTGCTTCCCTACAGAACTAATCTCTTTGTGTTGCCTACCAGTTTGTTGCATTATGCCACCAAGGAATGCTGGACGAAAGCGCAGGTCAATATTCCAGATGTGCTGGTACCGGCAGAGAACCTGCAACATAAAAGAGTAATAAGGTGTCTATAGAGGTGTGTGCAGGTAAGGCAGTAAATAGACACTTCAGATAAATCCTTTTCTATTTTATCAGTGATAGCCCTTAAAGCCTTTTCTGGATGCTGCCAGAGAACTGATCTCAGAAAAACTGAGAGGACCATATTCGTATCATGACTGTAAAAGTCTAAGCAGGAATAAATAAGGGAAATATCAAGCTCATGAGTGGACGCTCGCACCTGTTAAAGATCAAAACTATCTCTGAAGCAAAATGTTCAGCAGTAACTCCCGCATAGGCACAGGCCATGCTGCCGTTTGGCTGGGACACGCTTCCTTGGCGTCCCTGGATTTCAACACGCGAGGAAGAAACCCAGACACCCCTCATAGGTGCAAGAAGAACTAACTGCGAGGCGGGAAGGGCACTGCCTGCAGCCGGCCGGACGAGCTGCCCTTGAGCGGCCCTTCGGAAAGGGAGGCGGCGACGGGAGCGACCTCCCGGGACCGGCCGGGCACCAGCGGCCGCAGAGACCCGAGGCGTCCCGGGCAGGGCCTCCCGCCTTCTACCGCCCCCTGCCGCCCCCTCACCTCAAACCCCAGCCAGGAGTACGGGGAGATCACATCGTAAAACAGCTCCACGACCGTCCGGCCCATCCTGGCCCCGTCCTGTCCCGCCGCTCCCGAGCGCTCCCGCAGCAGCAGCAGCAGCACCGCCCCGGGCAGGGAGCGGGGCGGCCCTTCCGCAGTCCCTGCACGCCCGCCCCTCAGGCTCCTCCCCGTCCTTCCCTGAGCCGCTGCCCGGCTCGGTCCCTTCGCTGTCTCTCTTGTGAATCCCGGCCCGGGAGGAAGAGGAGGGGTGGGGGCGGGAGCTGCGGCTTCGCGGGGGGCCGGGAGGGAGCCGGCGCCCTTCTCCATGGCGAGGCCGGGGGAGAGGAGGCTCCCCAGGAGGGAACGCGGGAGCTGACTCAGCGGAGCAGTGCAGCATGTTTTCCCGGGAGCACGGCTTCCCTGCTGGGTCAGCAAACGATTTACGTGCAACTGGCCCTTTTGTCTCCCTACCCTCGATTTTCCCATACTTATTCCTCCTCCATTCAGCTAAACCCTTCCCTTTCCCCACCTTTAGTTACTCCCTTAACCATCCCACAAGAAGTTACGTGCAATGCCCAAACGCTTCCCCCTGCATCCTGTCACGTGCTCCTCATGATTCATCTGGCTGTAATCTCAATTTTCAACAAAGCAGCTTTCTGAACTAAGAGTAACTTTAACTCAAGGATAAAAAACACGAACTACCGACAGTAGTTTGTGACCTGTTGCTGAAATATTTTTTTAACACACGTGTACAGGGCAGTGAAACAATCGTTAAGAAAGGATTTGGGAGAGAGCTGGGAAACACCAGTGTGAAGTCTTTACCAGGCATATTGGTAGACATAGTGGAAAAAAGGAATTAATGAACGACTGAATTAAAAAAAAAATCTATTTGGAAGAATTAGTAGTGCCCTTCCAAAGGAAAATCCTGACTTGCATTTTTCTCAAGGGGTCAAAAACACAGCAGAGTGTGAATTTAGCGGATGCTATAAGTCACTGCCTCAGACATCGTCTGACATCTGGGGTTTCCTTTTTCCGGGCCACTGGAGCCTATGGATGTGACTACTGCTTTCCCATGTGCCAGTTCAGCCAGTAGAGAGCCCGAGTGTGCGTCCCAGAGAGATTCATAGGTACATACACACAGGACACTAACACAGCCGGCTAGACAGACTGCAACAAGCAGTGCTACCTGTAACTCCACTCACAAACAACAATTTCCTTTTGTACCTGATTTTTAAAAAAACTTTAAAGATAGATTTGTAATGAACTTAGTGTTAGCCTGATTCTCTTGGTTTTCATCCTACTCTTTAGCCTCAATGAATGATTCATTGTTTCTGATTTAATAAATTGATCTGTTACTTATACATAATTCTGTGTGCATCTATTTTCATCCCCCAAAATAAGAATTTTGCTTGATAGATCCCATAGTTAAGCCACTTTACATCTTTTATTAATCATGTGTTCTGTTAATATACTTTCAATACAATTACTCCAATTATCCTAAAAATTACCTTGTGCGGGTCCCATTTAGGTGCAGCCATAATGTTCTAAGAGTTTGGCTACAAATTTTAACATCGTCAGCACATTCCCAATATCAGTCCACTCATCCCAGTGAGGATTATGTACCCCAGTCACCCAGGGAATACTCAGCTTAAATGGATCATGTCAATGACATCAGTTGTTGCCATCTCTGAGGCTCTAGGCTTTCCTTCTTCCTGGTCACTGCCTGGTGCCACCAGAGAGGAGAAATTCTGTCCTGCGTAGACAGTTCTGACAGGGATAAAATGGCTGCTACACCTTTTTCTGCCATAGAATTGGTTACCCCTGTCAGTTTCTGCTGCCTTTTCCTGTTCCTTGCAAACACTCTCTCTTTCTACTTTCCCAGTTTTTCTGTTAGTGAGTCAGGAAAAGTAGATAGCAGGATGCAGTTAAATCACATGGATGTATGCGTTTCTCTCCTTCCATTTCTCACAGCATGCCTGTCAGGCCTTGTTGATGCTGTTGCAAGAAGCAATCAGTAAGAATTCCTTTTTTCAAAGACTTGGATGAAACAGAATTTTGATTATTTTCTTGCAGTTCATTCTCCATTCATAATAATCCCCAGAAAGGTGTCCCATGTATCTGGGAGGAAAAGCATAAATTTAAGAAGAGATCTTTGAACAGTTTCTAATAAGAAAATATCATAATTTAACAGATTAACTCAGTAGAAAAATAATTGCAACTACAATATTTAGAAATAAAAGCAAAAAGTGTCTAGGCAGTCTTGGCAACAAGAAATTATAAGGGAAATTTGAAAGATTTTCTTAAAAGTCATGTTTGTTTATCTTATAAGTATGTAATCACTTCTCTACAAATAATCCAAATTTATGTAAACTAGTCCTAAGTGTAGGTTGTTCTGGTTCTGCTAATAGTGAATTAGCATTTTATGAACAGAGGTTTATTTCCAAAAGTGTTCAGTACAGCTCAGCAGTCTCTATCAGCATCCCAGCTCTTCAATGTCATCATAACCTGTATCTTCAAGAGCAGGGGATGAAGATCTCTCAGCTTCAGGGGTCCTGTTTCGGAACATACTAGGACTCCAGTCTGAAAACACGAAGGGAAGAACACTGAGATAGATAAATGCACACTCTGTATGGTTGCGCAGCTGTCATTTGTCTGCTCTAGAAATTAGAACCTTAGATATGAGTGATTGTGAAAGACCTGAGAAATGCTTATGTCATTCTGCCTTCTGATAACATACACACGTATCCGAAGATCAAGCTTGCTGTTTCCAGAAAACAGATTACTGATCTGACTTTCAACACTTCTAATAAAGGCAATTCTTCCTGATAGTGGTTAGATAAAACCTAGCTAATCCCTTGAGGTCCCTTCCACCTTGATTATCATTGAGTTCAATACAGTAATTACAGATTACGAAAACTAACAGCATTGCTCTTTTAGCCTCACCTGTCTGTGAATCCTTGTTTCTGTCACTTTCTCCAGGGTTCCCAATGATTTTCTGTTCATTCTGCCCGTAAAGAGAAGCATCTTTAGGTCCAGGAGCTTCTGTTGCATCATCATAGCCATTTTCCAGGGCATTTTCAGGCAGTGGAGAGATCTCTGGAACAGTACAGGTATTAGCTATAACAGGGAGAGTTCTTCCACTAGAGAAAGCAGTAGCTGATGATCCAGCAATACAAGGCTTTAATACTGACATGTCTGTACTTAAATGGAATCCATCCCTCAGAGAATGTTAGTTTTCACAGTTTTATGGTATATACATATACTTACAAATACTGTGTGTATAAACATGAAAATAAATTAAAGCCCTCCTGTTTTGCTTTTTATGTAACAATCAATACTCAATCTGAATAAGAAAAAGAGATCTTATTTGGAATAATTATCTTCTTTATAAGCATTTCAAAACAAGTAAGAAAAAGCTTTTAATTTATTTTTAACTAAAAAAAATAAATCAGTATTAAAAAAAAATAGACAATAAAATTAAGGACATGATGCAGCAGAGTCTGATATATGGGCAACTGAGGTCCAAAACTGCTTGTGCTTTTTGAAATTGATCTCCTGGAGACCAGACAGCAGCTAAAGGAGCTTTTTGATCAGTTCTAGGAAATTTCAGTTCTTTTTAAAACACTTGCTCTCCTTCAGCTATTTCATATTTAAAAAAAACAAACCAAAACAAAACCCCACAGCTGGGAATCTGCATTTTCTTCAGACCTCTTGGATTAAAATTTCCTAACCTACTCAAATTGTATGCCAGTGTTCTTATTTGGAGCATGTCTTTCCTCTGTCTTAATTCTCCCCATTTTTCTCAGAAATAAAGGAATAGTTTACAAGCTATTACAGTTGAAATTTCTGGGAGAAGCAGTTATCAAATTGTTGGATTCATGTGATTGGATCCTGTGGAGTGTGCAATAGTACCAGCAAACATTTATTTCGAACTTCTCATATAGAAGAGAAAACTAGCACTTGTATATGAGATTGTATGACATTCTTCCACCACAAGAGCTAAAAAGAAAATTTTGATTCACAACAAAACATCACTAGCACATGAAGTGCAGCAATGAAAAAGTTTTAATCACTAATAATGAAAATTTTGAAATTAAAAACTACCCTGATCTGGGATCTCTTTCTTTGTATCATCATTACCTTGAGTTAATCCAGGACCATTTTCTTCATCATCGTCTCCACTATAAAACTGTGCCTTTGTTTTTGAACTCTCTGAATAAGAGTCTAGGCAAATGAGAAAGAATGTGGTATCAGATTAAACTCTCCTTAACTGCTAAGACTGGATCATGAGAAAAAGAGCAGGCTAGAGTAATACCATCCAAGTTCAACAGATTCTTTGGCAGTCAGCATTACTCCTGCAAGGCTTACAGTGGAAAGACCAAGAATCCCTCAGGGGTCCCATAACACTCTCATGGCTCATGGGGGAGACAAGCCACAAAGGGAGAAAAGCAATCCACAGGAGGAAGCCTACAGGGGCACAGTTGCTGGCAGAGAGATGCAAATTATTCCTTTATTTGTTCCTGCTTTAAATAATTACAGCAAGAAGCTTTTGTTTGTTTATTTTGTTTGACCTATACTGATCTATGGTCTATGGCTGCACAAAACAAATTGTCCTTAGGAGAGGAAATGGCAGAGTCCACTGGGCAGGAAACTCCTCTCCTCAAATCTAGGAGTTTTTAGTTTTCCAGTAGATTTGGGAGCTACAAAGTATCAGACAGGGATCCGGGGCACCAGAAAGAGCTTTCCCTTGAGAAGAGCAAGACACACAGACCTGAGAGGAAAGTCATGACCTGCTTTTCCCTCATCAGATTATAATCAATCTCTTCATAGACAGCCTCGGAGAAGGGGTCGTAGGATAGTCTGGAGTCTGAAAGTAAAAGGTAACGGTCACTCACACTGTGTCTGCTCATACTCAGGTTGGGGTCTTGAAAAGGACAAGTGCCCTAAAGGGGCTGCATGGCCAGGTTGGTACCTAGAAAGTCACCAAGATGTGCTGACTGAGGATAAGCGCTGCTGGGCCACTTCACTGCCAGAAAGCGAGTGAAAATCTTGATGTGGCAACAGTTCATCTCAGTCACCCATCCCCTCAACCTCCCCAGGCAACTAAACACTTGCCAGCCATGTTAAGGAGGCATTTCATACCAGTCCTGAGGGACCCACCTCTCTGCTGTGCCCTGGCACGTTGAATCTGTCCAGCAAGAATGGCAAGGACCAGGCAGAGAAGGGTCCCCAGGATAATGCAGAGGATGACAGGCA